AATGCATTAAATCCTATTTAGGCAATTCATCGTCTTTCTAAATTTTAACGCGTCTTAGGGCCGTAGTGCGGTAGTGACACTTTTCCGGACATGGGTCCCTATACTCAAATGTTTTCTACTGTTGCACTGAATAACCCCTAGAAGTTTGATCCCATAGTTCTGAAACACCCTGTATATATATTATATACGAGTATATATATATATATAAGTATATAATTCAAGAAATAAACTATTGCATCGATATTATGTTAGTGGAAATTGTTTCTGTAGTAACATCTCGTAAGCAGCAAAATATTTACGCTAAGACTAGGCTAGGTTTGAGCGTCTATCTTTATTGCTCTCATGACACATAAAACACAGATAGATTGGAACAAGAACTTTTGCACGCAGAAATATTTTAATGTGTTTACTCTAAGTTTTATCTATTCAAACTTGTGTTGTTGTACAAACAACCGCTACACTCAAGTAGACACAATAGACACTTGCATGACTACTGTTTTCAGACTAAGAAATTTTAATAGAATAGTTTATATCCGTGGTATATGTACTTTTTCCAACGGAACGATCGAAAATTATTCATATGAATTATACACATAATTTACATACAATTATAAAAAAAAGATCATTTTATTGTAATCATACTGTATTGATAATAAATTAAATATATGTATTTATCACACTTATTGTGAGTGTAATCAGTAAAATATTGTGTGAATAAATAACATACAAGCACTCTATAGATAGGATATTGCTTGAAAATCCTACATGTTTATTTTTGTACATGATATAATATATACTATAGTATAATACTTTAAAAGTATTGTAAGTATAATACTTCAAAGATATGATTTTTTTAACAAGTAAAATTTTTTTGATCGACTACTTTGTATCGAGGGTAATGGTAATGGTCGCCGTAGTAACAACTATCAAACAATGAGTCTTACATTGTTGCGCGGTCAGTGTAATTCTTGCAACAACGGTTAAGCAATGAACGTGTTAAAGTTAGTAATGATAGGACCGACTGAGGTACAAAGACAAATTTTTCTTGATTAGATCTTTATATAAATTACTTAGAAAACGTGGGATGTGTTTTATTATATTGATTACCTTTATATGATTACACGTGTGTATATGTATAAATACATATATGTATATAGAGCGGAAAGAGCACGATAGCAAATTTCCTAGCGGATGCCTCGGAAATTCCATATGATTATCGTCCAACCAAAGGTGTTCGAATACTAGAATTTGAAATCAACGATATCGAAGTAAACAACGAACGCATCTCGAGAGACATCGAGCTATGGGACTGTAGTGGAAATCATAAGTAAAAAAATAATATACATATTTTCACCGCGACAGATCAAAACTACTTATTTTATAGATATAAAAATTGCTGGCCAGTTATGCGTAATGGTGCACACGGTGTGATATTGGTATACAATTCAAAGAACGTACAGAATTCTTTAAAAGAACTTAAAGAGTTGTATGATTACTTTATTATCGGAGCCAAATTAAGTGCAAATAATTGCGTAATATTTTATTACGATCCTGATAATACGTCAAACATGTCAAAAATGATCTGTAAGTATTTGAATATTACAATATGTTAAAAATCATTACTTTTTTAAGACTTTTCATAAATATAACAGCAGACTATAAAAATTCTTTATTTTTTATTTGATGATATTCTTAATTGAACCGTTTTATGTGATATAATTAAAGCATCCAGCTTTTCTCATGTTTCTCATGTCAAATGCAATGTGGACGATGGTGGGGATAAGTTAAAAACTGATTTTCGATTGTTTCTAAGCGCCTTATTGACAAAATTCCAAGAGGACAAGGAAGAGAAACTGATATTGAGCGACAATATATTATTTTCTAAATAATATATTATATTCTAGTAAGCAATATAATTGTACAAATATAGTGAAAAAGTTATATATTATCTATTTTTCTGTATTATATAACATATCCAATTCCATATCTTCTGTATTGTATTTACATGCAAGGCAGAAATGTATATAAAATTGTTACTAGTTTTCATTTACAGATATTATATCACAGAATAGTTTAATTATTCTGTACACAAAAAAAACGTATAATTTATAAACTATTACATCATATGTACAACATAAAACATAAAAAACTTCAGATTTATTTTGTGTCTTTAGATAAAATCGTTGTCAGTTCTCTCCATGCTTTTTCTACTTGTTCCAATGTAAACTCATGAGACCATAAAGTACATATGACAACAGTGGCTTCTTTTACCTGTTCTATATTACTTGGTTGTATGCTGATTCTCAGTTTTGCTGCTTCTTCTGACAATTTATTTCTATCCATTACTCGTTTCACAGCCTGTAAATATATATTTAACAAATCTAAATTTACTAAAAAAAATATTCAAACAAGTAACAATAATCTATGCAAAAAATAAAATAGATTACAAATTTCTAATATTACGTAAAGTAAATAAACATAATAAAGTCACTCAAAAGCCAACCTCATTTTGTGGAATGATACAACACCAAATTTCATGACATTTGTCTTGCCATTTAGCTTGAATTAAAACTGCTGCTTCCATTACAATGATTTCATAACCTTTCGAATAAAGAATATTTATTTCTTTTTTAGCTTCTTGTAGAATTGCAGGCCAAATTAATTTATTTAAATTTTCCAATTGTTCCTGTAAAATATATGCAACAAAATGGAGTCAAATTCAAAAAGTAAGATAATAGATTATTATCATAATTATTATTATATGTTACATACGTACTTTATCATTAAACACTATGTTACCAAGTAGTTTTCTATCTATAAATCCTTCTGAGCTCAGAATAGAAGGACCAAAATGTTCAATTATAGCACGATAACAATCTTTACCAGGTAGATATAAATCGTGAGCAAGTTTATCACAATTCACGAGACCAGCACCAAGTTTTTGCAATTTTTCAGCAACTGATGACTTTCCACTTGCAATACCACCCGTTAAACCAATAACATAAGGTTTTAAAGGTTTATCATTTCTCTATATATAACAAAAGCAATAAATAATTATCTATATATTAACATATAGTTTTTCTCGAAAAACTTAATATTTCTAAATATTCGAAAAGAAAAAATAACTAACCGGAGCTTGAAGTCTTGTGCCAAGCAATCGTATTCTATGATTGCTAGAGCTGATTTTTGTTTCTTCATGTTTATTGTGGCATTCATCAGCTGCTAGTTCCACTACATGAATATCTAATTTACTTAAGTTTTTTTGCAAACGTAATTCATTGATTTTATCACCTCCACGTTGTGTTTCTTGACTTACAACTAACATTTCTAATAATGGATCTTCCTTAGTAGGTCCATATATATCAGTGATAGGAACAACATTGTATGCTATTGACGAATCTACATCTTCCAAGAACTCCTTAACTCCATTTATTCTTTGTGTGCATGGTTGAATGAGTTCCCATAGTAATTTACCTGAAAAAATATGTTCAAAGTAGAAATTAAATATAAATTATATTAAAACAAAAATGAAAGAATAATACAAACAAACGTGAGCAAAATATATACCAGAAAGCATGTTAGTATCTGTTACACCAACTGTAAGCTTCTCTGTGCAGCGCAAAACAGCTTCACTCAGTAAAATCTTGTGACCGTTGTGCAAACGATCAAACGTTCCGCCAAGAACTACGTTCTTATAAGTCTTCATATCTTGAACAACATATTCCACATCCTTGTGATCGTTCTGATCTTGATCGTTATTACAAGTAATAAAACTATAATTTACTGAGGTGTTAGCTAATCGATCTTGTATAAACGTATCCGCTTCTTTCTTGCTGCATCTTCGATCAAAGATGACAATTTCTACAGGTTTTTTGGTCTTTATAATGGATTTCTCAGGATTCTTTATGTTGGTAAGCAGAATACGAACATCGAGTCGAGAAGCAATCGTAGTAGTATTTTCATATATATCAACAATATTCTTCGAATATTGAGAATCTCTTCGTTGCACAGTTCTGATATTATAATTTTCTGTTGCGAGACAATTTTTTTCCGGAAGATATTGAATATATAGCGTCTTTAGAACATGCTTCTTAATTACGGGCAACAACTTTCTCACTCTTGCAGGATTTGTTAGAATTAATAAGCCAGTATTTGCCATGTTACAGAGAGAGAGCAACAAAATAAAAACTTATTGCAAGAAAATATATTTTGATCTTAGACAATTTGTCAGTTTCACTTGATCACATATAAATGTATATATATATATACATGTACACAAATATATATATATATATATATATATTACTCACAAATAATTGAGTTACTGAAAAATGTGCGATGTGATTTTCGTTTTATGACAAAGTTCTTTTTGTATGTCCTGTTCGAACGCAATAGTACGATCTACTACTCAGTCCAATTACTTTTTATAAGACACTATTTATTGGTGAATCATCAAAATATCAAAGGTTAGAAATTAAAAGTGACCGCTGTCTTATTGTACGCTGATCGTTGTTTTTTGCTTTTTTTAAAAAAAAAAATATCAAACATTCGGACGTTTTCTACTTATTGAGTGAAAAAAAATATTTGACACATGTCTACTTCTGGGCATACACCATTTTTTAAACATAAATGGTATTGTTTTCCATAAAAAGCAAATAGAACAGCTGGTTCCATTTTAGATCGCGCGCACGCGCAGTGTGTATCCGAACGACTTAAGTAATTTATCTTGATGCAAATATTCCATAATTTTATCTCGCATCTTACATAAGTCGATCAGTTTTCAACCTTGGGAATTTAAAGGGAAATTTAAGGCAAATGAAAGTTAATTTCTTTTTATTTGTGCGTCGAAATTCCTTTGTTTCGCAGATTTACGAACACGTCAAGTCGGTTTAATGGATCCTGAAGGGGTACGTTCGTTTCAACAGCGAAGGATAAAATTTATATACCGTATTAAAAACGAGGCGAATATATATTCGAGATAGAGGAAAGGGGGAAAAGAAAGCTCGCGATAAAATATGCATGCGAAATATAACGACGCTAAAAATGCATATCTCTGTATTTCTCGTGGTAAAAATCGGTGTCAATCGATCGGCCGAACGTTCCCGAAACGGTGAGAACCATCGCGAAGTCGCGAATAATTTTGCAATGGGTGGATTCTCATAGCGAATCATAGCTAGATGTCGCGAAGAATAAACGCGCTGATCGTGAATTCCCCTTTAATCGAAATCTTAATCGGGAATCGTCGGCGAATCTCGGGCTCACGCTCGGCATCGTCGTGTTCCTCTGCCGTGCGCATATGAATCTCTCCTTTAGTTTAGTGTCTAGCAGGTTACGATTCGACCGAAGAACTGGGGTGATATATCGGTGCGCGATACCGCGACAAATGTCGGGAGCTCGTGGTGAGTGGTACGAGGTATAGGCCGAATAAGGTGCGCGACATAAAGTGACACACAATCTGGAATCTGCTGTGGTGTGCCCGCTCGCTCGCTGACTTGTCCTACGCCTCGTACGCACGCACGGCGTCGAGAACGCGCCGAACGCGCGACCACACGTACATACATATATATACAGACATAATATACGAACAGATACACATACACACACACACACGCTCTATTCGTTGACGCACGGAGGTACGGAGAAGACCCACAGTTCTACGGCGCCAATTTAATGGATCCGACCATTGGTTGGTACCAACCGGAGCAGTTCGGCCCCGCTAAGGAACTGTGGTTAAACATCTGGGAGGCCGAGAAGGGCCTCGATGTGCTGACCCTGCGTAACGACGCGAATACGAACAACGCGATGGGCGTACGGCTGCAGCAAGACTTTCTCGCGCTGGACACGAGCCCGGCGGCGGCTGCGACCGCGGCCGGCAATACCACGCCGTCGTCCAACACCGGTACCACCACCGTAATCAGCACGGTCTTCGGCGGTGGCGGTCCCGGTAATAACAACAACGGCGGCGGCAATGCCAACAACGGCAACAACAACGGCCGCGCCGCCACCTCCGTTCACGGCAATGCCGCCAGTAACAGCAACGGCGAGCACCGCGTGCCCCATAACGCCTGTAACAATTACTACAATCCGTCGCGTAGGAAAAGCGATAATCGCGCGAGCACCTACGGCATGAACTACAATTATGACGCTCTCGTAGGCGAGTACGGCGGCTGTCCTTGGCGTGTGCCGAACAAGCATTACTCCAAGGGTGTAATCGGGTGAGTAATGAATATTCTCACTCCGTGCCTTGCAGTCGCACGATTGAATTACCATGCGGTCGTGTTAGAGTTAGGTTAGGTCGTTAACATATCGAGTGTTCCGATTTCTTCTGATCAGATCTAAAATTAGGAAAGATGATGTGTCTCTGTAGAAAAGAGTAGATGAGAATAATGAAGTAAGTAATATTTTTAAATCTTTCTGCTTTCTACTACTCTACTGTTTGTCAACTTCCTACAATATCTATACAGTCTTTGTATGCAATACTACTAAAAGCTTTGGTAATAAAGCCTGTACACAACAAAGTTTGAAGTTGTATTCTTATCGTTGATTCTCAAAATCTTATAAGAAAAAACTGTAAACACTTACATGCGTGTAAGTTTTATATTTGGATGTTAAATGTTCAACAAGTATATTGAGTTATCTGAAGGACAAGGGATAAAACTATCTCATAGTAATGCTCTGAACACACATGTACAAACAAAAACGCAGTTGTGATATTTTTGTTATTGTATTATTGTGTAAAATCAGAAAAAAAGACAAAGTTACTTCACAAATATAAAAATCCAATTTTATCAACACAATTCTGTATATTGAATGTGATATATATTCTGTTTATAGATTACATGAGGAGATAGAAGATTTTTTTGCATACATGTGTCCCTCACACGAAGAGCATGTTTTAAGAATGAGAGTTGTAAAGAGAATAGAACAAGTAATTTATGATCTCTGGCCAGACTCTAAAGTAGAAGTATTTGGCAGTTTTCGCACTGGTTTATATTTGCCTACAAGGTATGTATCTTTTACGTATATTTATAAAAAAACGTTAAAAAATATGGCTCAGTATTCCTTTGTTATAGTGATAAGACTATAATTATTGAGATACATTCGTAACACAATTAATTTTTTTTACACATTTGTTTTGCACAGAAAGCTTCAAATAATAAATATATTAGTTATATCTGCATAACATGTTAATTTTCTGTTATTACAGTGACATAGATTTGGTAGTAATAGGAATGTGGACAAATCTTCCATTACGTACTCTGGAACGTGCTTTATTAGATCAAAATATTGCTGAGCCATCTTCTATTAAAGTGTTGGACAAAGCCAGTGTGCCGATTGTCAAATTGACTGATAAGGAGAGTGAAATTAAAGTGGATATCAGTTTTAATATGAATAATGGTGTCAAGTCCGCCGAGTTGATAAACTCTTTCAAGAGACGTTATCCAGTTTTAGAAAAGCTAGTCATGGTACTGAAACAATTTCTATTACAAAGAGATCTTAATGAAGTATTTACTGGTGGTATATCCTCGTACAGTTTAATACTCATGACCATCAGTTTTTTACAAGTAAGTTGTTTCCAGAGTGTTTTATTATGTAATAAAAAACACAAAGTATATTTCTGATGTTATAATATTAATATATTTCATTGTCATATCAAATAATTTACTGTTACTTTAGCTACATCCCAGACAAAATGCTTGCTGTTCGAGCGCTAATCTGGGAGTATTGTTGATTGAATTTTTAGAATTATACGGTAGAAAGTTCAACTATGTTAAGACTGGTATTCGTGTAAAAGATGGTGGTACTTACATATCCAAAGAAGAGGTAAAACAGTTTCAGAACATTTCAATTTATATTATTATTATTAATATTAGTAGGAAAGTAGAGCAAATATAGAAGCATCACGATACTAAGTTTGTATACTGATCAACAGGTTCAACGAGATATGATAGATGGTCATCGGCCGTCTCTCTTGTGTATAGAAGATCCGCTTACACCCGGAAATGATATCGGCCGCAGTAGTTATGGTGCTTTGTATGTAAAGGATGCATTTGATTGGGCCTATTTTGTCCTTTCTCAAGCAGTCAGTCCCTTAAATATCTTAGTCAATGACGCCAGTAAAGTAAGGTAAGATTTCTACTTTTGTATTATTTTGTTTCTTTATGTGTATTATCTTTTTTTTATTTTGCACAAATTACAATAACCGATGTTTTCACGCACGCAGCATACTGGGAAGAATAATTCGTGTGACCGATGAAGTAATAGAGTATCGTAAATGGATCAAAGAAACATTCCAGCTACCTGTAAGTGAAGGGGACTCTTTATCAAGCTCAACTGGTTCCGATGCATCTACTCTTTCAGCTCCTGCCAGTGATACGGTGAGTCTGTCCTCAAATAAGAATCAACCGTTTATTGCTCGGAATATTTTTCGAGTCAAATAATATTTGATTTTGGATTTATTGAAAGAGCGTGTATAATTATACAATTTTGTATTTAAGGACTCCGAATGCAGCCGTGGCAATTCTCCGAATACTGGCGGGAAGAATGATAACGATAAAAACAAAGACAGGCACTTTTACAATAATCAACAAATTCATCATTATTCGGCAAAGAAAACGTTCAAAGCGACCACTCATGGTACGACAAATGATTAAGTAATTCTGTTTACTCTTGCATCGATGTTTTTGTCACACAATCGTTCCTTTTTTTTTTTTTTGTAGCAAATCACCAGCAAAATTTTAAAGGAAGTTATCGCATCAATAACAATATAGGTGGTCAAAATAAGACCAAGCACACACTTCACAATAATGGCAACAACAATAATAATAATAACAATAATACTAGTCATAGTCCAACCTCTAGGCCACATACAGTGAAAAGGAAGAAGCATTGTACGATGCCACGTGGGACCGGGGATTGTGTGCGGTGATGAAACGAGCACGACAATTTCGGACATTACTTCCGTCACTTAAGTAGCGAGCTCAATATCATAACTGTGTGATAGAAAGACAGCGAGTAACGTCGGTCACATAACAACTAAATCATCCTACTACTCTTCTTCTATTTTATTTTCAATACACGAATGTACAGAAAAGCACATCACAGAGTTCTAAGAGAACTTGCAATTTAAAAAGTTTGCAATTCTTGTACAAGAATGGCCCAAGCAGTATAATTGTATATGCGTAAAATATTTCGTCTTTCCCAGTTTGCCAGAATCATTTTGCTCTGTACGCAAAACTTTACGTACCAAAGACGTACAGAATTTCTACTAGTAAATCGCGTTTCGAACTAGAATCTGTTTATATACTTTATTTTTATTATACAGGTTATTATATAACAACACATGCAGACTAGTGTAATGTTTTATCAATTCGTCGTTTATCGGAAATCGAATTATTGCAATTGTCAAATAGCAAATTGTGTTCACATATTGATTAACATATTGTAATACATTTATATAATAATGAATATACACATACAGGATATAAGTTGCGGTACACTTGTTTCGGGAAACTTCAACACGCAAAACTCTGTAAAACACCCTAATAGTGACAACAAAAACTTAGTTTTCTATATGAAACTATATTCTTATAACAAAAGGAAGTGACAGCGAATATGGTGATATTGAGACTTACCTATAAATAATATAAAATGTGTACATATTGTAATATACCATCTTCAAACATAGAAAAATAAGTCTAAGAGTTACCTATTAAATTTTTTTAATTTATATCTAAAATAGAATGTTTGTTACAGTGACTTTACCGTAAAAATTCGCGAATGAAGCCATATCTATCTAAGAGAATGTATTATTGTTTCTTTTTTTTTTTTTGTTATATTTTTTTGTGTCTATATATCAGAATATAAGCTCTGAATATCATTGTTGAAGATTTTGGTATGTTTTTCAGATTTTAATAAAATTTATGTTTTTATGTGTGCGTGTGCGTGTAATGATAAGAAATAATGGTAAACAACAAAAGAAAAATTTTTTGAATAAAAATATTTTTAAAACGTAGCTCACATTATACCACAAGAGACAGAGTGATGACAACGCTTCGAAGTTTCGCAGTCTATTTCGTAGCAACAACTTTTTTTTTTTTGCAAATTTAGCTTTATCTGCCTTCGTTTGTACAGAAATGCTAAGTTTTTTTTTACTGTTAGTTCATAAATTCTTAATATCTCTCGAACAATGACGTATTATTTTTATATCAGATAATTAAAAACATACATATTTGTATCATACAAAAAAAAAAAAAAACAAAAGAATCTGATATTTATGAATCTTACATTGCATTTGATAAAACTTATGTATATGACAATACACAAAAAGGCCTTGACATTACTTAAGAGCTCTGTATATTACGTTCGTCGATTACGGTGTATAGACATAGTTTACTATCAAATATTACATTCCGTTTGACGCAAGAACTACTGAGAATAGAATGTTTATCACGACAAATTTCTTTCAACAATATCGGATCAAACTTTTTTTTATCTGGCGCAACTGCATTTTTGTGTTCAACGACTTTTAACGCGCAATGCAACAAATCATTTCCGTAAAAATATAGTTTAGCTATAAATTGAGTATTGTTTAGATTTTGAGTTTTTTTTTATATAGATTAATACTCAGTATTCCGTGTAAAATAAATTGTTCAACTTAAAGCTCTTTTGTATCTTATATTGTATGCTGTGATTGAATTTAACAATTAAATTGTCAATTGCTTAAAAAGATATATATAGATATATATAAATATATAATTTAAATGTTACTGTAAAGCATTATATAAAGCCATACTACATTTTTAAAAACTATGTAAACTATATTATCGCTTAGTGATCTTCAGCAAATTACATGTTTTTTATAAATATCAGAATTTCGTAATCATTGAAAGAGTTTGATAATGAAAACTTCGTAATCACTCATATTTATCGAATTTCCCGAATGACTATTGGAGTTTCTGTAAGAAAAAGGCAAAAAAAAAAAGACAAAAAAAAAGAAATGGAAAAAAAAAGTTTAATAAATATGAATGATGCCGAGAGAGACGTCTAATCTTATTTATTTCTTGTTATTTGTATATTTTTAAAGCAAGAGCGAGTTTACCTCATAGAGCTACATTACTTAAGACCAGAGTTAAACAATTTATAAACTCTTCTCTCGATAGCAATATAATACTCTTCGTATTTTCCAAAAAATTTTTATAGTCGTGTATTTATATATTTGTGTGAATATATTTTTAAATAAGCAATAATGTAACGATGTAATGCGGTCAGTAACGTAATTTTCACCTTTGTAGATCGTACTGTCGTCGCAACCGTTACACTATTGAAGTTGTAAAAACAAATATTTAATTTAGCGTATAAATATATATGTATATATATATATATATATATACATCATTGCAAATATGGGTAACAAAATTGCCTATACTTTGGTAAAGTTCTCTTTCCATTTTGTTTTATATACAAAAAAAAACAGCTTAAATGTGTAAGAGGGGAAAGGAAAGTGAGATAAACGATTATACGATCGAATTAAGTCGAGTAAATTAGGAATTATCGATCTCTGATAGCGATTCATACTTATAATTATCTACTTACATAAGTTTGTACACGTACACTTAACCTAAAGCAAAATATGTGAAGAAAAATCTGTATAGTTATGAAATAAATCTTACTTACCTTTTTCTTCAATAAAATTTTAATATGATTTAAATTTTTACTTATTTTATATTATTTATATACATATATGTTATTTTTTTATATTTCATAAACTTCAACATGCTATGAGAAATTATAAAATAGTAACGATGTATTTTTTCAAATAGTGTTTTCCAATTTGATCACATAGTATTTATTAGAATTCTATCACTTGTACATAGACAAGTGCATCCAAGAAGTTTATAGTACACAATGACTAATTATTTATATTTTATATATATAGTAAACGAGTTTTAATAATATTTTTTCCCAGGTGGATTCCATCCATCAATAGGATTCATGTCTAGCTTCTTCATACGATCCAACTGTGCTAGTCTGCTCTCTAATGAGAAACTTTCTGGCAACTCTGGATAGGCTATAAAGAGAAGTACTGCGTTAAACCATATCTTTTGATGACTGGACTGTAATACCATCAGAACAGAAACTTACCAAATACTTTAAAGTACATGTACAACCATAAACCACAGCTCACAAATATAAAACTCATTCCAACGACACCTTTCCACTCTCCTGTTGGTGCTTCCATTTCACTGAATGTTTGTCGGAAGCTAGCACGATATAAAGCTTTTTTCTCTTCGATAGAAAGTTTCTTCCAATCACCTTTTTCTTTCTCTCTGAGTGCCTGAGATAATAGTATAAATTATTGTAAATAAATGACTGACATGAGATCATTTAAACTTATTTTCTTTTTCTCACCATAATATCTGGAGAATTTTCCTTCCAACGTATCGCAGGACAAGGAAAATCTACTCTGTCTAAGTAAGAAGGTTCACCATTGTATCCAAAACCAACTACATCCCTGTTACCAATTCTGTCTAATGTCATTATTCCACATCTCTGGAGTTGAACAACAGGTCGCAAACGACTTGCGAACAATCTACCCGCCATTGTTTACTAAAAGTTACAACAAATGTATTAAACACAAATTTATATCAACTAATATCTTAGTCATCATTTTATTCTTTATATATTCCTGCTAATCATTCAGCAAAATAAATATGTTCAATTTATAAACACATCTTTTTGTCCTACAAAAATAGATAAAATCAAGTTTTTCTGTTTAAATAAGTATCCGACAAAAAAAAATTTACGTGTTAATATATATATATAGCATGATATATAACTCTTATTAAAATATCTTAAATTACAATGTAATTAATAATATAACACGTATAATTTCACTTGCAGAATTATTTGCAAAATTCACAAATTTATATAAATATATATATATATATATATATATATATCTCAAATACATGTGATCTATTTCTATCAGCAGTTGTTCAATTAAATTATTTGTCATGACATAAGAACGAACATGTGACACCAGAAACTTGTCTCTTCAAGAAACGTCAATATTTAAAGAATACTTTTGTTTTCTGAAATTGCGTACAATCAATCATGGCGCAAGTTACCTAACTGATGATGAAGATAGCCGACAGTTGGGAATGTGTGTGATAAAAACTCAAAACGCAAAACACCAACTGTTTCTCGAGTTACGTAATCGAGATAATGTGACAATAACTCTGATCTTTACATACTATGCTACAATTGATTGAAATTACCGAAATAAAACTTACTATATGAAGAACACTTCACACCACTTTTCTCCAGCACTCACCCGGGAGAAACAGAGAAACAAAATTAGCTGCGATTAAAGAGAAAACTGAGAGCGGCCAGACCTATAAGAGAATGTGTAATCGCTAATCAGCCCTGTAAGCCAGCGCAATGTCCATGGGTGGTGCACATTGACAACTATGTAGCCATGTCCACGAACGACTTGTCGGTACGTATACGTTACGTGGTTCTATTCCGTGTTATGTGCACGTGCGTTGGTATACAGACTTGTATGTACACATCGATATGCCGGATATCCGATTTTCGTTAGCTCTTGGACGAGCTAAATAATTGAGTTTTTTTACACGTTATGATAAAAATCTTTCTATTGATAAAAATCTTTCTATGATAAAAATCTTTCTATTTGCAGATCTGATCTTCTATCACATACATTATTGATGGTAATAATTTGGTGATAATAATTTGCTATTGTTGTAAATGTTAATACTCGCGTGGACATGCGCTAGCTTACGGAGTGGAAAAGCGATCGTAAAAACTCTTATGGAGAAGCCTGGCCGCTCTCATTCTTCTCTCTGCTCGGAGTCTTTTCTCTGGTTCTGTTCTTTGCTATGCGAGCGCACTTTGCCGCGCGCATCTATTCGATACTTCGATTCTCGAAATATCGCGCTTCGATACGCTGATATGACGAGCAGTCATGGCGAACGCGCGACGCGGAGCGAAATTACGTTCGACTTGTTCCTATATTTCTTGCGATTATTACCGTATCGCGCGCAAATATCTGTAATACGCACGTTGTGTTGCAAAATATATATCGAGCGTTCGCAGTGATATGTAATTAGAATCGCCTTGGTAACGATAATCGGCGAGTGGTGCGGTAAAATTGTTTCGCGACTGTTCGCGCTCCCGCGAGAAACAAAGTGACCGGCATACGCGTTAAGAGAGAGCCGTACACAGACGATTCAAAACTCCTGACAATCGTGCAGCTAACATTACGGAGCAGAATCTCTCTCGAGTGTAATCAAGTAAGTACATCTTCCTCCTTAGATCATCATTTGCTGCTATTGATGTGGAATAATATAAAATGACTACACAACGTATTGATAAACCCGCTTATTTTACAATTACATAAGTATTTAATACTTATAATACTCATAAAACAATTTAATACTTAATATAGATAAATAATTGATACAAATGTAAAAATCAATTATATGTATATATCCTATATTAAAAAAAGCATTTGGACCGAGAAGTGCACGTTTGGAGTCGAATATATCGCAACTACTGTTGCCTCTTTTCCGCGTTGCCGATTGGTTAGTTGGTTGATCGAGCCGAATCGAATCGGGGTCACTGACCTCGGCCGCGCGACCGCGGCGGTGTTACTGACTTCGGTCACGTGATTACGGTATATATATGTATAAATACATATATGCGTATCT